AAATTTTTACTTTTTAACAAACAAATTTTAAATTTCAATCAATGACAAAATTTGATAAGTAATTTTGAAAGAATTACAATTAAATTTAAAAACTTAATGTCACTGTAAAACTATAATTATAATTTACAAATAAAACTATTGTGGAAAAATTTAAGACGATGAAATGATTGTTTATTAGAATTGCAAAAAGAAAAAAGAAAAAAAAAAAATAAAATTTAAACAAAACAAACAAACAAGCAGAAAAGACAGGAAAAAAAAAGTTGAATTTTAATTACATTTAAAAATTTTTTAATTTCAATTAAATTTACACATTTAAATATTAATGCATAAATTGTTAGCATACTTTTAAAAAATAAAATAAAATAAAAAAAAAATTGAAAAATAGTGGAAGGAAAAAAAAAAGAGGAAAGGTGTTAGATGGCTATAAAAGTAGGCATTAGTCATTCTTTTTTTTTAAAAAAAAAAAAAAGAGGAAAATTTGGTTTAAACTTATTGAAGCATAGGACAATGGGACACTTTTTTTTTTTTTTATTTCCTTCAGTTGTCAATTCTAAGTATTACTAAAAGAAATTTTATTTACTCTAACAATTTATAATTTCGGGTAAATTTTTCCTTTTCTTTTTCATCAAATATATAAACAAAATTTATGCAAGAATCAAATTTAAAAAAAAAAAATAAATAAAAAATAAATTGGAAAAAAAGGAAAAAAAAAAGAAGAAAAGGCAGGTAAATAAGGCAGGTAAATGTACACAGGAAGGAAATGTGAAATTTTAAATATTTATTTATATGTAAAGCTTATATAAATATAGCATATGTATATATTTATTGAATAATATTGAAAGCATTCAAAGTATTTTTCCATTTTCATTTTATACTTTAAAAAAAAAAAAAAAAAAAAAAGGAAGAAAAGTGTATAAAATAGAGAGGAAAAGAAGGAAAAAAAAATAAAATATAATTTTTTTTACTTTAAAAAAAAAAATATAAAAAATGATAGAAAAAGAAAATAAATGAAGTGAATAAAAATTTTAATGTTATGAAAAAATTTTTTTTGAAAATATCCGATTAATAAAAATTATTATTCCACTTTTTTTTTTATAAAAATTTTTTAAAAATTCTTTTTTATTTATTAATTATATATGAATTTTCATTTTTTTTTTTTTGAAAAAAATAAGTTATTTGTTCTTTTCTTTCAGTTTTTGTTTTTATTTGGCTAATAAAAATTTTATTAGCTAATGCAAATAAATAAATGAATAATTAAAAAGTTAGAAATTGAAATTTATTATTTTTGCAAAATGAAATGATAATTTATTCAATTCAAATGTTTATTAGTTACTTCATTTATTAATTACTATGAAAGAAAATTTTACAATTGTTTTATAAAGAATTAGAAAAAAATTTTACTTTGCAAAAAATTTAAAAAAAAAAAGTATATTTGGTATCAGATAAGTATTTTTTTATGCAATCTGATAATATTTTCTGATAATATTATCTTATCAGCTTATCAAATTCACTGTGATATCATTGATATTGAATGTATGATATCTTTCTAATATAATTTGTAGTAAATACAAAAAATGATAAATGCTTTAGAGTTATCAAAGTGATAACTGCTTCACAGTGATAATTATCATAATTTAATACAAATTTTTGATTGTCATAAATACATTTTAGCATTTTAAACAAAAAAAGAATCTTTTTTTGAAAATTCTTTTTTTTTTGGTTTTATAAACTTAAAAAGTTTATAAAATTAAACTTTAAAAAAAAAATAAAAGTACTTGGAATAATTTTGTTTTTGCATATTTTTGCGCAATTGCATTTCTTCTTCTTTTTAAGAATCAAAAATTTCTTTGGCAAATCAATTTGTTGAAATTGTCAAAAAAAAAAAAAAAATGAAAGAATTTCATTTATTTTTTTTTTACATGTTTTATATTTTATTGTAATTAATAAAGGACTTAATTAGCTTTAAAATGTAGGAGAGGAGTATTTCGGAAATATCAATCGAAATTCTTTTTATTATGCACCGATTTATTTGTTTATTTATTTATTTGTTTATCTATTTATTTTTTGCTTATTTGCTTATTTGATATTTAGTAATTGAATTGGTGAATTTTTTTGTTGTTATCATCATATATTAACACTATACATTAGTTTGCTTATTTGTTTGTTTGTTTGTTTATTTGTTTGCTTGCTTGATATTTAATAACTGAATTGCTGAATTTTTTTGTTGTTATCATCATACATTAACACTATACCTTAGTTTGCTTATTTATTTGTTTGTTTGTTTATTTGTTTGCTTGATATTTAATAATTGAATTGGTAAATTTTTTGTTGCTATCATCGTACAATAATATTTGCTCGGAAATGGAATTTCTATCAAATCTTCCGCAAAAATTTTCTCAATAGCTAATCTAAATCATAGCTAATTTTGCTCAACAAATAAGCATTGCATTTATCTAATTTTAATTTTTTGCATAATTTACAGATTTTCATTAAGACTATCACTTAATAAAAAAAATCAAATTTTAATTTAAAAATTAAACTTTGATTTCCATTTTTAATTTTTTAATGTATCAATTTGTAAATGATTCGTTTGATAAATTTTGCTGAAAAATTAATATAAATGGATGTTAACATATTATAAATCTTTGTTGCTTATTTACTTTTTTAAAAAAAAAAATTTTATAAAAATTTTAAATTTTCCATTCTAAAACGAAAAGGATGAAATAATAATAATGATGGAAATTTGAAATGAATTAATATGATGAACAAAGAAATGAATAAAAACAAAAAAAAAAAAAAATAGTAAAATTACGATGACGAAAGAATCTTTAATTTACAATTTGAAATTTTAAAATTTGAACAAAGAGAAAAATTGAAATCGAATCGGAAGTTTTGCAATTTGACGATATTCAACAAATGCTCATTGGTAAGAAACTTTTTAAAAATTGAACTTTTTTTTTCAAAAAAAATGAAAGAATAATAGAAAAAAGTTGTCATTTAGTTGCTTTCATAAATTTAAAGTATTACTTTAGCTAACATATTTTAACACAAATATGTCAAAATGAATGATAAAAAATTTTTAAAATATGAAACTTTATTCATAATTAGTTTGAGAAAATATATGCTACGGAATTTTTTTTTTTTTTAAATTTTTCAAATATTATTGTGTTTTTTTTTTTTTTTTTTTTTAAAAAAATGTAGCACTAAACTAATTTGAGAAATTTCAAAATATTTTAAAATCAAAATTTTAACTGAAACATAAATTATTGTAAGCAATACAATTTGAACATTTAATTTTAACAAAAGATTTGTTATTAGATTAGACTTTTAATCGCCCAAATTATATATTTTTTAAATTAAACTATAAATAATTTAATTAGAGGTAAAAAATGAATTATTTTTTAGAGGTAAAATTTAATTAGAAGTAAAATGAAAAATATAATAACAATAAAACTGTTAAATTTTTTTCATAAATTTGAGTTTATTAATTTAAATTTATTGCATTTGTTAGTACACAATCAAACAATGATTAATTAATTTGAAAATGTAATAATATAATTTAAAAAAATTTCATAAATAAATAAAATAAAATTATTTTCTTAGATTGTCAATTTTCAAAATGCTCTTTATAAAAATGAAAAATGAACTCTTCATTTCTATCACATTAGCATAAATTCAATGAAATCGGTGAATTAAGTTAGTCAGGTTTTCCGGAAAAATGTAAACGGAAAATATATGTTCTAATACTACTTTATTTTATCTTTTCTTTTTAGAAAATTTTACAAAAATTATTTATCTTTTTGCTAATAATTAACAATTAACATCATTTTTTGTCAACGTATATTATTAAAATTATGATTAATTGCAATTATAAACTTAAATAATTTTGCATTTGTAAATACTGAATTGAAAAATTATTATTAAAAAATTTAAAAGAGCAATTTGATTCTTTTTTTTTTTAAAAAAAAAAAAGTAAGTTCAAAGAAAAAAGAAAACATTAATATTTTGTATTTTTTTTTTTTTTTTTGATTAATACAAATGATTTTACTTAAATTACAGTTCATTTAAAAAAAAAATAAAAATAAAAGTAAAATTACCCATAGTTAAATTATAAATTATTTATGGTTTTAAAACTATAAAAATTCATTTCACACAAAAAATAATTTGTAAATAATTATGAAAGTTTAATCTGATCATTTGTAAATGTATTTTAATTATATTACAATTAAACATTACTCAGAGTAAAATAATTGATTTGTAATAAGCAAAGTTAAAATAAGTAAAATAATAATTACATTTATATAATTCAATCTATCATTAAAATTTTAAAAAAATAAAAAAAAAATAAACTTACAGAAATATTATCCTATTTTAGGTTTAACAATAAATTATATCTTTTTTCATTTTTTATCTTGAAAATTTTAATGACACATCCATATACATTCTTCTAATTATCATATGTATTACTTATTACAGTACCCTTCATTACTTTTTTTTTTTTTAACTTTATTATTACTTAATAAAAGTTATTCAAAATTCATTTCTTATTTCTTACTTTGTTAATTTTTCGATGAATAATGCTATTAGTTTATGACATATTTTCAATTATATAAATTTTTTTTTTAAACAAAGAAAAAAAAAAAACGTCATAATTGCCTTTTCCGATCTTATATTGGCATACTTGGAGCCGGTTTTCCGGATTAAATGCAAATAAACCATATTAAATTTTAGTAATGTAAACAAAGGGAAAAAAAAAAAACAAACATACAAACATAATATTTGTTTTATTTGCTAGAATTAATTTAGTAAAAATTAAATTATAATTTTAAAACAGATTAGTTAAATGGAATCAAATCAATTGCTATAGCATTAATCCTACTTCTATTATCAGATTATCAGATATGAAATGATAAAATTAAAATATTTTCATGCTAATCATACAAATAATCACTTAAATATGCTAAAATGTTTTGGTGACACAATGGTGACAACATCATTTTTCAAGTAGTTTGAGTGTCAGTTACAGTCATAGTTTCTTTTGCCATCTCCTCTTCCTGTTTTTTCTTTAATTTTTTGATAAGTTCTTTGTCCATTTGTTGAAGAAACTCATCACATGCTTTCTTTGCAATTGGAAACTAAAATTTTTGAAATTTTATCAAAAATTTTATTTTTAAATAAAAGAAAAAATTCTTTTAAAAATTTGTATCATTAATTATTCATATTAGAGAGCCTTTTTCTTGTTTGTTTGCGTTTTATTTTTATTTCTTATTTTATTAATTTTATTTTATTTATTCTAATTTTATTAATTTAAATTTTGGAAATAATTTAATCTATTATTTGATTAACTTTTCGAAAAAAAATTTATTAACAAACCGGTACGAGCATTGGATAAAGATTACGAATTTCTTCACGAATATACCAACATGTAATAATAGTTACTAAAATGATAACTGCTGATGGAATAAGATAACCGAATATGACAAGATTAAATGCCATTTTCCTGAAATCAAATTTTAAAAAAAAAATTTTATTAATAAGTATATTAAAATTTTGTTTAAATTGTTGTTAATAATATTAGTATTAAAAAAAATTCTTAAATATTAAATTGTTATAAAATTGTTAATTTTTATTTGATAAAATTTTAGAAAATGAAAGCTGAATTGAATAATTAAATTTTGCTTTCTATAAAAATTTACTTAAATAATAAAATTTGCAATGTGAAAAAACTATTTATCAAAATTTGAATTAAATCGTAAATATCATTAAGAAAAAAAAAACCTTTAAATGAATTATTCTATAATATCAGATGGTATAAAATATTAGTGAAAAAAAAAAAAAAGAAATTTCATATTTTTCTTTTTATCTTTAAAATTTCAATTGATAATATTTGTTGTGCACTTTACTTTTGTAATTATTTTATCTTAAATTTTTTTAACATTTTCAACTTTTTTTCTTTTAATCTTTGTTATTAAGGATATACTGATCTTATCACTTATCAGTTTTCTTGTTCTTTTAATCTTTGTTATTAAGGATATATTGCTCTTATCATTTATCAATTTTTTTTGTCCTTCCATTCATTGTTATTAAGGATATATTGCTCTTATCACTTATCAATTTTTCTGTTCTTTCAATTACCGTTATTAAGAATATGTTGATCTTATCATTTATCAATTTTTTTGATCTTTCAATCATTGTTATGAAGGATATATTGCTCTTATCACTTATCAGTTTTCCTGCTCTTTCAATTACTGTTATTAAGGATATATTGATCTTATCACTTATCAATTTTCTTATTCAATCAACTAAATATTTTTAAATCATTTTTTTTCTTATCATTCATATCAATTAAATTGGTTCTTAACAAATTATCACTCTACAAAAGATTAAAATTTACATTAATGTTTTAGAAATATTAGAGGCAAATTCATTTGCCATAGCTATTGCAAGCGGTGAAAGCCTTAATGCATCAGCAATATTATCCAATGGTTCATTAACACTTGGCATCACTTCAATTACCTAAATTTTAAACAAAATTAAAAAAAAAAATTCATTAATCATAAAATTAAATTTATTTTTAAATTAAAATTTAAATTTAAAAAAAGAAATTTGCCTCTTCAAATGTGAACAGTGCTCCTGTATATCGTGCAAATGCAAGTGCAATATCCAAACTTGTACTATCATTTTTATTAATTAGCAAAATTGTTATCAAAAATAGTATAACACCTAAATTTAATAAAAATTTAATTTATTTTTTTTTTGAAAAATTTGAATAAATTATCGAAAAATAAAAAGACAAAAAAAAAAAAAAAAGAACATAAATTGGTAAATTTTAAAGTAACAAATTAATGTGAAATAAAATTAATACCAAGTCGATGCATATTATATTAAATGTTAAAATTATTTGTTTGATAAAATGTTATGAATGAATGCAACCGTACAAAAGGTGTATTTAATACAAAAATATTTTTTAATTAAATTTAACAATAATTTAAAATGATTATGCTAATAGTTTAGCTAAAAATATTATTAAAAAAAAAAACATTGAAATAAACTAAAGCTGTATTATTAGTTTATAAAATTATATATCAAAATTTCAATTAATTTAATAAATTTTTTTTAAAAAAAATTTCAATTAATTACTCAAATTGATGTGCATTTTGCAACAATTTTTAGTAATTTCTTAGTATACAAAATAATAAAAAGTAAAAAATAAAAATACCAAAATTTTTCTTTAATCATATTCTTTTCAAAGTTAAATGATTAAAATTATATTCGTTTCGTTTTGTTAATTCTTTATTATTCACAAAAAAAAAAAAAAAAGAATAATAAATAAAAATAAAAAAAAAAATTTTAATTTCAGCATTGTTCTAACAAAAACAATAAATTTTAGAATGATTCTAAGCAAATATATTTGAAGTTTCTTTATCAAGAAGTTATTTTTTTTAATTGTGATAACAAAATTTAGCAATATTTGAAATTTTCTGATTTTAATGAAAAAATAAAATCGTATAAATTAAATTATTTCATAAAGAAACAATTTCTAAAAAAAAAAGATGAGAAAATGTTGTTCAGGAAATAATTTAAAAAAAAAATTTTTGTTTTTTTGTTTTTTTTGAACAAAACAAAAATCTTTGCAGAAAAAAACATTTGAATTTTTTTCAAATTCTTTTCAATCGTTCAAAAATTTTTTTTTCATTTGAAAAAAATTAAAAATCTTTACAAGAAATATTTGAATTTTTCTTTTAAACTCTAAATGTAGTGTGTTGCAAAAAAAAAAAATGTATTACACTTTTCATTTGCAAATATGAAATTGCGACGAGAATAAAACATAAAATTTTAACATTTCAATTCGATTTCATTCATATTTATCAAATGATATTTTTATAAAATTTCTTTTCATTTAGCTATTTGGCAAATTTTGCATTAAAAATTATGAGGAATCCTAATTGCTACTGTAATTTAACTCTTTTAGAGTAATTCTTTTAAAGTAATTCTTTTAGAGTAATTCTTTTAAAGTAACTCTTTTAGAGTAATTTTTTTACGGTAAATTCTTTTGTAATGAATCTTTTGGAGTAATTCCTTTAAAGTAATTCTTTTGGAGTAATTTTTTTTTTTTTTTTTGGAATGACTCACTTAAAGTAATTCATTTAAGAGTTTTAGAGTAAAATTGTTGATTGTTACTCTGCAAGGAAAAAAATCTTTTGAAGGGAGGAAAAATATCGTTGTATTTTGAGAAGGAGAAAAGATCTTAAGATTTATGAGACATTATGATGATTACATAAAGAGCGAAGAGAAATGAGAGAGTAAAAGATGAGCAGTGATATAGGAAGAAAGGAGAAGGATGAAGAGACCACAGAGATATCATTGAAAGTTTCGAAAGAGTATTTACTTCTGCATGATTGTAAAAGTGGTAAATATTAAAGAGTTTTTATAGTAGCGCTGATTAGAAGTATCAATCAGTTTAAACTGTAAAGTAAGAGCTCTTACTATTAACTTTAAAGTAAGTAAGTAACTAAGTAAAATGTACTCTCGAATAAGTAGAATGGAACGAATATTCTCGAATTGTAATGATCTATTTGGTAGGATAAGTTAGTTTTAGTCTTTAGTTCTTTTCAATTAATATTTCTTAAGTTAAAGAATTTAGGAGTAATCAGCTATTATAGATTTTTTCAAGTATTGCATCTTAATTAATTAATAATTTAGGACGTTCTATTTTGTGCTATCTGTATATCATTATAAATTGTGTAATATGTTAACTTATGCTGTTATTAACTCTTTTTTTTTTTGTTTTCTTTTTATTAACACTATTAGCAAAATCATATTTGAAAAGGTAATCATTAAATGTTCATTGTGAAAATTCTTTTTTTTTTTTTTTTTTTTTGCAAACATATTATGATTTTTTTTTCAGCTTCTAAAATGAAGCCAAAAAGGGAATTATGGTTAGCGGATCAAGTTGGCATACGTGGTATAGAATTGTATATTCCAAAATTATATGTAAATCAGAAGGATCTTGAAACGGTAGCTTCATTTTTTTTTTTTATTAGCATTCATATTTGTATGTTTCGTGTTAAGAGTATCTTTATGATTGCCCTTTAACCTTTCTATGATATAATTTCAGGATTAATTTTTATCGAATTTGTTTTTCTATTGTTTTTCCAAAAACTTTTTTCTCCTTTATTATCTTATCGTGTAATTTCCTTTTCTCCGTCTATTCTCTTTCTCTTTTCGTGTTATTTCACTTTCTGTTTCTAATTTGTTTCATATATACCTATTTTGATAGTATTTAAAAAGATTCTTTAAAATAATATGCTTCATACAACAAAAAAAAAGCATTTTTTTTTTTGAAATTTTTTTCAGTTTGACAGTGTTGAGAAAGGCAAATATACCATTGGGCTTGGACAAGATGAAATGAGTTTCTGTGCTGATCACGAAGATATTACGTCTATTTGTTTAACAGTTGTATCGAAATTACTAAAGAATTATAATGTATGATTTTTGTTCCGTTCACATATAATGTAGTTTATTCTTTTTTGATTTGCAATATCTTACTTTAAAAAAATATGAAATGAATTTTTTTTACAATTATATGTCGAAGTTTACATTATAAGTTTACGTTCCAAGTGGCATTATATAGTGAACTTTTAATAAGATAACATAAGGTATTCATGAATTTCGACGACACTGTTAATAATTAAGTTCACAAACTGCATGTTGCAGCTTTCTGCCAAAGATATTGGTTTTCTTTGTGTTGGAACGGAAACGTTAACTGATAAAAGCAAGAGTGTCAAAACTTCACTGATGAAATTATTCGAGGAAAATTCTGATATCGAAGGTGTTGATGTAAAAAATGCATGTTACGGTGGCACTCAAGCATTATTTCATGCAGTTGACTGGATTTATGCTAATTGGGAATCGGAAAGTTAGTAATTTATAGACATCGTATGTTACCTATCGAGTAAAAGATGTTATAAATATTTCGTTTAATTTTTATAAATTTCGTTTAATTTCAGGGCGGTATGCAATTGTCGTTATGGCAGATATAGCAGTTTATGATGCTGGACCTGCACGATGTACGGGAGGTATTTTGTTGTAGAATATTATTAAACAAACTAAAATGACCATAAGCATAACTATTTCGATTTTAGGATTTCAGTTTTGGTTATTTGAATTTGATTGCTAAAGTAGAGAAATCAATCGATGGACGAAAAAACGGTGGTAGAAGGAAAAACAAGATTTACATTACCGATTTTAGAAATCAAAATAGAGTTTTTTAGTTTGGATATGAGATGTCGTTCTCTATCATGAAGTAACTAACTTTAGATGAAGCATTTATTTCTTATCTTACATGATTGATCTTTTTATTAAACTTTGACTTTTTTTTTTTTATAGGAGCTGGAGCCTTTGCAGCTTTAGTTGGTCCAAATGCAGTATTGTCATTTGAAAGAGGACTTCGTGCGACGTATATGGTTGATGTTTACGATTTCTACAAACCAAATCAACCTATATCCTCAGAATATCCTGTTGTCGAAGGACAGGCCAGCTTACAGGCTTACCTCACTGCTGTAGATGAAGTTTATAAGTTATTCTGCCAAAAGGCTGAAAAATTAAAAGATGAAGGTTTTAGATTTTTGAAATTTGCAGTATGTGTTTTTGTATTTGAGCAATATAAGAAATTACTGCCTTCCTTTTTCTCAATGTTCTGAACAAATGGTGCTGTGTTAAGTTCAAATTAAAAATCAGAATTCGACTGATGGATGATATTTAATTTCAGTAGTGAATATTTCGGATTTCGATGCTATCTTTTTTCATTGTCCGTTTACTCGTCTTGTTCAAAAGGCCCTTGGTGTATTGGCGTTTGCTGATTTCAAGCGTGGATTAAGCAATCATTTGACAGATACCATACGGGCTAGACCTTCATCGTTAGATTTTTAAGATTTTTTGATATATCTATTAGTGTTATATTTTGTTTGCTAGTAATATATTTTGAAGTAATGAAATTTGATGCCTTTAAATTATTTATGGTTTTAAAAAGCTTTCTTCTTCATAACACATAAAATATCCCATAAAATCGATTTAAATAAATGAGAATTAAAAGGAAATTTTCAAACGACTCTATTATCTGATGGGAGCTTTTCTGCAAGCCTTTTTTGCAATCTTTCTATTATTAAAATGATTAGTATTACTAGTGTTTCAGGTTTTTACTTCAACCTCGTGAATTAAATTATATGAGTCGTGATTTTGCTAAAATGACAACACAAATAAGTGCAAAAGTTTGGGCTCAGAAGACTGAACCGTTTTTGTTACTTAACCGTCGAATTGGAAATACGTATACAGCATCACTCTATTTGCAACTTATTTCTTTCTTTTATTGGCAAGTTTCAAGATATTTCTTTTTTTTAGCTGATATTGTTGTTGATTCTTGATGCGTTAAGTGAAACTAGTTTTAAGAATGTGTATTATGCACATTCTTGGCATTTTTTGCTTTATGTAACTTCTTTGTATATTTCATACTTAATTTATTTCCTAGAAAAATTTCTTGTCTCTTTTGTTTTCAACTGCTGTCATTCAATTTTTATTTTATATCATCATATAACCGATTGTCGCACCAATAATTAAACAAAGAACAGCTTTCCACTGGATGTTACTTTCTGTTTTTCAGTTCGCCGATTGATAACACTTTAGCTGGCAAACGACTTTTATTTTTCTCATATGGTAGCGGAGCAGCTTCAGCAATGTTTTCTGCTCGAATATTAATACTGGAAAAGGGTTGGTGACTTTATGTCAGATTAATAGTAAAACTTTTCCACTAGATGTTACTTTCTGTTTTTAATTGAAGTATTAAAGTAGTTTCTGCTTTTCTTCGTGCTTAGAACTTCTTTCAAGTTTTTTCCTTTATTTTTTAAGATAGTGAAATAAAGTTTGAAAATCTTACGTTTCATTCTCCTTTATTCCCTTTAGTAATTTCAAACTTTTCTACATTATTTCCTATAAGCTTTTTAATTTATTATAATGCAAAAGATTGAGACACTACCCTTCCCTTCCCCTTCCCCCCCCCCTTTTTTTTTTTTTTTTTTTTTATTTTTTTTGATTGATTTGGAATTGATGCAATCGATATAAATCAGTTTAATTAATCCTAGTTTTATATTTTCCAGATGCTAGAGATCAGTGTACTCAAATAAAACAGAGCGCAAATGCAGCTGTAGCATTGTTGGGAGAACGTTTATGCGTACATCCAAAACGTTATAACGAAATTTTGGCTCTTAGAGAAAAACTTCTGTCAAGTGCAGGTACAATATTTTCTGGAATATCTGTATTTGTCTCTCGAAACTTTGAATTCTTTTTTTAGTTCGTGCATATTTATAGAAGCAAAAGTGTTTGGCTAATGACAACTTTAAATACAACCATTGAAATGCATGCAACAGCATGCTACTGTCATGTTATTACTTTTATAAATGTTTATCTCACGTCAATTTTTTTTTTTTTTTTTGTTTGAGAAGATTTTAGTTCGTTTCAGCTCCGTACAGGCCGGAAGGTGTGAGAAATAATTTGACGGATGAATTCAGCCTATTTCCTAATACATATTATCTGATGAATATCGGAGACAAATACAGACGATATTATGCGCAAACATCCACTTAGGATTGTTGTAGCTTGTTTGAAAGTAGCTGTAGAGTATTGCATTCCTGTATGTATCATTTCTTTTTTTTTTTTAGTCTGTTGTTTTATTTATTTTCACTGGTTGGAATTTTGTTTTTAAATTATTTATTTTTAAATCTTACCAGTGATTCTTTAAATTATTTATTTTTAAATCTTACCAGTGATTCCTGTGTTGTTTTAGTGTTTTTTTTTTTTTTTTCATGCAGGTTTTAGTGTTTTTTTTTTTTTTTTTTCATGGAGGTGAAATGTTACTGATCCGTTAATTTATTTTTACAAGTTTGTATGATGATTTTCGGTGGATTTTAGCTTCTATTTTATGCTTTTTATTACTTATATGTTCAGTTAAAGCTCACATCACAAACACACTTCTTCAACATCTCAAATTCAGGTAGTGATTCAGTTGAAAGTGTATGGAAAAATTACCATTAATTTATACTGGATAAAATCACTACTTTAAGTTAACAATATTTATGATGTTGCAATAGCTATTAGTTAGCTTAAATTAAAGTTTAAATACAGGTAAGTGATTGGTTAGCATAATGGGTGATGTCTACCATAATTTTTTTAGAATTTAAAATTTTTTGTTTACAATACAAGGTGCTGTATGATGATTGCTACTACGAATTGGACATTATTTTTATTATTTAAATACAGGTAAGTAATTTTTTTCTTTACATTTTTTTTCACTATTTTTGAACATATTTTTTGTTTTATTATTTAAGCAGAATGCATATATAAAAACAGTATTTTTTAAATATTCCAGAAATGAAGCAAATATATTTCTAGTATATTATATTACATCACTACGCCATTCTTAACGAATCTTTTTCCTTCTTTTTTTTTTTTTTCTTTATTTTGTTTTGCTTTTGAACATTAAAATTTCTGGAGATTTTTTAATTGAAATCATTTCTCTTTTTTAATACAACTCTAAACATATTATACGATGTATTTTTTCAAAATTATTAAGAATCAATATGAGAATATTACTGTTTAGAAAAAGACTAAATTGTTTTCATAAACCTTGTACACAAGTATATATGAAAAAAGAAATCAGTCCTTACTATAGCCAGCTGGTAAAGGTATATCAAAAATGATCGGATCATATTCTATCCTTAATTTATGATCACAAATTGATGCATTAATAAAAGTTGTATGACCATTTGTTGTTACACCATGCATCTGATGAATATGTCCAAAAACATGAAATTTTGGTTTCACTCGTTTTTCCACTGTATTTAACAAATCAGCACATCCAGCTAATACACCATCACATTTATTCCAGGCATTAAAATCGCCATGTCCTAAAATAATTTATATCAGAAGTATTGTTTATTATTTATAAAATTCATTTACTAATTACTAATTTATTTATTGTTTATGGTTTTTCATCAGATAAGCTAATAATAAGATTATTGTAATTAATTATTAACTATTTATTTCATCAATTAATTGTATAATCTTTAAATGAAGAATTGAATTAGTAAATGAATTCTTATTGAGTTCAAATGTTTTTGAAGAATACAGTGGATTATTTTGATATGATTATTGATAAATTAAACGAACAAATGATAATTTTAAATTTAAATTAATTACCAAGTGGTGGTGTATGAGTAATTAGTACATCAACTTTAGATGGTATAATCTTCCATTTTTGCATTATTGAATGACCACGTGAGCGATAAAATGAATAACCTGGCATTAAATGCCATGGAGCGCCATAAATTGTTAAACCATAAATCTAAAAATATTTATTCTTTAATAAATAATTATTAAATAATCAAAAATACATAAATACAATTATAATTTTTCATTTCTAATAATCTAATTATTATTCGTTTATTAATTTTTCATTTCTAATAATCTAATTATTATTCGTTTATTAATTTTTCATTTCTAATAATCTAATTATTATTCGTTTATTAATTTTTCATTTCTAATAATCTAATTATTATTCGTTTATTAATTTTTCATTTCTAATAATCTAATTATTATTCGTTTGTTAAAAAAAAAAAATGAAAAGTAAAAAATAATGCAAAAATTGGAGTGAAAGAGAGAAAGAGTTAAAAGAGGAGAAGAAGATAAGATGAGAAAAAATTTTTTTAAATCTTTTTAATGAAAAATTTTGAGTATTTTGTAAAATTTAATTTTACAAGATTATTTAATAAAACCAATTCTATGATAGATTTTTTTTCTCTTTTCTTTCTTTTTCACTAAAAATAATTTTTTTTTTTTTGTGATATTATTTTTAACCATTTTTTTTTTTTTTTTTTAATAATTAACATTTTTTCATTTCTTGTAAAGTAACTCTTTGTAACTCTTTTCTTTTTGTTGTGGAATAAGTAACAAATTCGATGTCAACGGAAGTTTCTTCTTATATGAGATGACATTTATGTAATTAATTACCAAATATGCTTTTCTTGTTGATATTTTAAGAAAGTCAACAACAACAACAAAAAAAAAAAAAAAAAAGAAAAACGAAGGAAATGAATTGAAGAAATAATAATATTTCAAAAATTGTTTAGCAATGAATTTTTTTTTTTTAGTTTAAACAAAAAAAAATAACACAATTATTTTCATTTTATCTTCTAAATTTACTTTTTTGTTATTTTTATTTTTACTTATCAACATTTATTTAACTTAAGTTATAATTTATGAGCTTATCTTATAAATTAAATATGCATTATCATAAGAAATAAATTGTCATTTAAAATTATAATTTTTTAACTTAATTTAACTTAAATATTAACTTAAATGCAATAACTTATAAATTAACTATACATTATCATAAGAAATAAATTTCCATTTGAAATTATAATTTATTAATTTAATTTAACTTAAATGTATTAACTTATAAATTAAATATGCATTATCATAAGAAATAAATTGTCATTTAAAATTATAATTTTTTAACTTAATTTAACTTAAATATTAACTTAAATGCATTAACTTATAAATTAAATATACATTATCATAAGAAATGTAAACAAAAGGAAAAAAAAGTAATAACAAAACCTCAATTTGTCGATCACATAGGTAAGAGCAATTTGTTAGCAATTCATATGGCTTACTAATACCAAGCATATTTAAGCCAGCAAGTTGCTTTTCATTTAACTCTTCACCATCTTCAAAACCAATTTCATGATTTCCAGCTACAACTATCTTATGTTTATGCGGTAAACTACCTGAAATCAATGATAATTTATTAAAAAAAAAAAAAAAAAAAAAATTTTTTTTCAAAATAATTTTTAAATATTTTAAAGTGATTCTATAGCTATGGTAAAAAAGTGGAAATTATTGTATCAGTAAGATTAAATGTCGTTTTTTTTTTTTTTCTTAAAAGTTTTAATACTATACTATCTCTTATAAAAATCATTCATTTAATAATTAATAAATTAAAAATAAAATTAATTTGTACCAAAATTTTTTTCATTTTTTTAAAAAGTTTTAATGCTATATTATAGTATTAATTTGTTTAATAGTTTCAATACTATACTCTTATAAAAACACATTTAATAATTAATAAATTAAAAATAAAATTAATTTATACAATCAGTTTATGAGTTTCAATAAATATAAGATAGTTTGAATTGAATTTAAAAAAATGTACCAATTTGGGCATTAAATTTAATTACTTCACCAATATCACCATAATTTGTAAAATCACCAGCATGAATGAAAATATCACCGTCCGGTATTACGGATAATACTTCTTCCATTTTTTCATGTGTATCCGAAATACACACAAAACGTACCTTATTTTCAAAAATTGGTGTATCAAGCCTAAAATTATGCTCACGATATACTTATATTTGAATTGCATATACTTTTACTTTTAAATAAGATAATATTTTCTTTTTTTTTTATTAATTCTCTGAGAATCAAAAATTTTGATTATAATTGTAATTAAAATTGAATTGATAATTTATTGAAAACAGTTATTGAAATTTTTTGTTAGATAAATAAATTAAATCAATGATAATTAATAGATATTTAATATGGAATTTTTTCTTTCTTTTTTTAAAAAAAAAAAAAAAAAAAAAATTTACCTCAATGGCTTAACAGGCTCAGAAATGCGTCCCTGTTTCAAATATTTGCGCCATAATTCGACTGGTTTATGTGATAATGGATCAACTGGGACGACATTTCGTTCCGCCATATTTTCTTATTAAACTTTTCCTTCTTCCTTTCTTTTTTTCTTCTTTTTTAAATCAAATTTTAACAGCCTTTTTTTCAGGTAGAAAGAATGTGAAGATAATTTCTCATTAGTAAAATATGATGGTAAACTTTGCGATAGTATTAATTTAAATAGTTTCTTTCTTTCTTTCTTTTGTCAAATAATTTGAAGATTGGTTGGTTCTTTGATCACTTAAAAAAAAAAAAAAGAATTTTTTTTTTTCTTTTGTTAAAGAAAATGTAAATCTATCATTCATTTTCTTTTCACAATTAATATTTGATATAATTATAATCGATGACAATGAGTTGGGCAAAAAATATTTAATCGTAATAATTTATTGGTAAGAAAAGAAAAAAAAAAGAAAAAGCTAAGAATATACATAAATTTTCTAAAAATATACAATTTATACTTAAATATGTGATTTATTATTGAATATATAATTTATAATCAAATAAATTTGTAATTTGATAAACGTTTTATAATTAAGTGTACAATTTATAATTAAATATACGATTTATAATTAAATGTACCATTTATTATTGAAACAAATAAATGATTTCCAATTAAATATACGAATTATAATTAAATAAAAGATTCATAATTAAATATACGATCTCATAATTTGATGTAAATAAACGATTTATTATTGAATGTATAATCAAACAAATGATTTCTAATCAAATATACGAATTATAAATAATTAAATAAATGATTCATAAATAAATTTATGATTTCATAATTAGATATAAATATATGATTTATAATCAAGTAAATGATTTCTAATTAAATATACAAATTAGAATTAAACAAACGATTCATAATTAAATATACATAGTTAGGTATAAATGTACGATTTATAATCAAATAAATGATTTCTAATAAAATATACAAATTAGAATTAAATAAACGATTCATAATTAAATATATGATTTAGCTAAATATAAGATTTATTACTGGATGCATCACTTATTAAATAAAAATTCTTTCATTTAGCTAACATTCACATTAATATTTTATACTTCAAAAAAAATTTTACAAAACATTCTTCATCGAAATAAATGAATGTGTCAGCAAAAAAGAATTGTTGATGAAAGAAAATAATAATCACAAAAAAGAGCGAAAAGATTGAAAAAATATGATAAGACTTTGATTGCGGTAAAATGTTTAAGAATGAATGCTGATAAAGCTAATAGAAACCATTTATTTATTTTATTTATTTATTTTTGAAGTATAATAATTGATAAAATATAGAAATTGAAATAATATGCAAAAAAAGAATCTGAAAATTATCACATAAATTAAAATAAAGAGAATAAATTATATAATTATCTATAAGAATGAAAGAAATGATAAATAAAAATAATTATAATTAGCTAATTGGAAAAAGCATTTTATATTTGTCATATCAGTAAGAATTTTTTTTTTCTTTTTTTAAATATATTTTTCTAAATTATAAATATTAGTTTTATAAGATTTAGTAGAATTCATGTGGAAGTTCAAAAGTACATAATAAATAGCGCAATTATCTTGAATGTATTGTATATTTTAATTAAATATTACGCATGCAATTAATACTAACAATTTTAAATATAACAAAAAAAAATTTTGAAATCAAAAAAGAAAAAATAAATTTGAAATGGCAAAATTTACTTCAAATTCAACGATATAAGAAAAAAATCGAAATCTACGAGAATTTATATCGAATTTGTCTACCAAATTTAATGTATTTTATGAGAGAAAAAAAAAAAAATGATTAATTCTACTAATGAATCTATTGAATACTTTACTTTTTAAAAAAAGCAAAATTGAAATTTGATTTAATTAATTGTCAATTCTTTCATTACTTAAAAGATGGAAGAAGAATCATTTAAATATTCACATATGATTAAATCAATATTTTTCTAAAAAAAAAAAAAAAAAAAAAAAACATTTGTCAAATTTACGATTGTTTAATAAAATACATTAAGCAAATAAGCATAATAATTAAAATTAGAGAGAAAAGATTAAAAGAAAAATTTAAATTATTATAAAATGTTATTAATTATTATCATCTAAAAATAGTCGCAAAATACCTCTAAAATTATATTTATGTTCAAAATTTTTTTCTCCATTAATCAAACTTTTTTTTCAATGTTTTTTTTTTTTTTTAAAAAAAAAAAGAATTTATAAATTTTCCCATTAAATTTTAAAACATATTTTTTTGATTTCTTTTTTCTTTTTTTCTGAATTGATGTAATTATCAAATATATTTTAATTTGTTGACAACAATCAAAAAAATTTTTTCTCATCCAAAATAAAGAATGTAATGCAAAAAAAAAAATTGTTATAATACATGTTGAAATATCATTTATAAAATAATTTTTCGTATATACTTAAATTAAAACTACCATGTTCATCACATTTTATTGAATTGAAATTTTAATTTCTAGTTTTGGTTTTATGTTGATGGTAATTATATGATCGTTTTTACAAAAAAAAAAAAAAAGCGAAAAAAAAAATAAAAACTTTGTTAAATAAAACTCAAATTTGAGAAATGATCAGATGACATTACAAAAATATTAGTTTTTTTTTTTTTTTTTATTTTTATCTTTGGAATAAACATTCCAAAGATAAATTATCAATTTCAAAAAGCGACAATATATAGGAAACTTTTCAAATATATTTTCTCTTTTACATTCCTTTTTCTTTCTTTCCCTCTCTCTCTCTCTCTCTCGTATTATTATCATTAAATATGAAACTAAAATGCAAAAAAAAAAAAAAAAACAATCAATCATTTCAAAAAATTCAACTTATCAGGTTGTAAAATATATTATCAATCAAAATAAAGTAACTTATTTCTTTTACAATCCTTTTTCTTTCTTTCCCTCTCTCTCTCTCTCTCTCATATTATTATCATTAAATATGAAACTAAAATGCAAAAAAAAAAAGGAAACAATCAATCATTTCAAAAAACTCAACTTATCAAGTTATAAAGTGCATTACCAATCAAATAAAATAGCTTCGATGATAACAAGTAGCTAAAATTAAATGAGAAAAAAAAGTTTTTAAAGTAATAGTAAAGGTAACAGTAGTAACAATAATTAATAATGACAATGATAATAATAAGTGATAGTAATATTAATAATAATAATAATAATAATAATAATAATAATAATAATAATAATAATGGCAACAGTAGCCGAACAATGGTTTTCTTCTCTTCAACTACTATCAAAGCAACATTATTTATTATCAATTGTCAACCAAATAATGACAATTATATTGATTGATAACTGAAAATTTGTCATAAATGTATGTTTGATTCCTTTTTCATTTTCAGTGTCTTTAACCAGTTTGTGCACTTATTTATTGTTATCACATAGATTGCACAAATTATCATATTGACATTTCTATAGTAATTTATAAATTAATCAATAATTAGATGACTCTTATGCACTATCTTAATTTTTCGTCTATTTGACAATATAGAAAAGAAATATTTTTTGTTAATTGAATAATTGAATACTTAATATTAATTGAATATTTAATGTTAATTGGATACTGCTGATTGAATACTTAATGATTACTGATCGAATATTTAATGATAATTGAATATCTACTTAATGCTAATTGAATATTCAATGTTAGTTGAATACTTAATCTGAATTGAGTACTACCAATTAAATACTTAATGTGAATTGAATATTTAATGCTAATTGAATACATAATGTTAACTGAATACTTAATGATGGTAATTAATGAACGAATAAGTTATCCGAAAATGCTTTAAAATAAATTGATTATTCGAAAATATTACAGGAACTAATTACAAAAATTATTTGTAATTTGAAGAATTTACGTTTGTATTAAATTATATTATCCTATACTAAATCTATTTTCTATTATTTATATAAATTTTAATTTCAATTTCATTCTTTACATTTTGTAGGAAATTATTTAGGAAAAAAAAAAAAAACTTTTTTTTTTGCTTTTGCTACCTAAATAATGAAACGATTGTTTTATTTATGAATATATTTTTATCATTATTTATTTTTATAACATTTTGTTTTTAATCTGATATTTTTATCATTGTTTTTACCTTCATTTATTTATTTAATTGTATTATTATTATTATTATTTTCATAATATATTTCAAATAATAGTTTATTTTCAGAATTATATTAACAAATAAATTGATTTATTAAATTAACTATGGTAAATAAAAAAACAAAAAAAAAAAAAACAAGATTTCAGTTTATTTACTAAAATATTAAAATATAATTATTTGCAGCAATAATTTTTATCAGAAAAAAAAAAAACGATATGAAAAGGAAGAAGTTTCTTTCTTTTTTCAATGTTACCGATTCTTTTTCCATTTCTTATCATAAAAATCTGCAATGAATTTTTCATTTTTCTCAAAGAAAAATGAAAAATGAAATTCTCTATTGCGTTATGTTATGAATCATAAACTTGTTATACTGTAACTATAAAATAAAAAAAAAAAAAAATAAAATTATATTTTTTCAACTAAAATTTCTCATACAATTATATTTATTTATTCTACTATAATTTCAACGAATAATTGCTATCATTTGTATCGTAAATTACAAGGAAATCATTCATAAATTTTTTTTCAAAATTTTCTAAAAAAAAAAAAAAAAATTATCACATTCTGATAGATTAAAACTTATTAAATTTTTTTTTTGAAATTTTATTAAAAAATTAATAAATAAATTTCATATAGCATTTAATATAATACATATTTTATAATAAATTAGTTATTTAATTTAGTTTATCGATAATTTATGATATAATAATAGTGTAATAAATATCGTGAAAAACTTTTTAAATAAAGGAAAAAAAAGAAATGAAAAGCACTTCTATAGCAATTGTATGTATCTCAAAGTAATTTTTTTTTTTGGGGGGAAAAAATTTAAATGAAATGAAATTTTGAAATAATTTAAACGAAAACCTTATAGAAGACAATAAGAAAATAGAAGAGG